CATGTGAAGAAGTAGGCGCAGGCGAGATATCCGGTTGCTAACCAAAGGGCGAGTGTACTGTGCAGCAGTTTGCTCCGTCCTACTATACGGATGCAAAATATGGCCGTTAAGAGTAGAGAACTTTCGTAGGTTACTAGTCTTCGATCATAGGTGTCTCCGAAGCATTGCTCATGTATCCTGGGATAACCGTATAAGCAATGCTGTCGTTAGGAAACGAGTTCTAGGTAGGGATGGCAAATCAATAGATGAAGTAGTGAAACTTCATCAGTTGAGGTGGTTAGGACATGTGTTACGTATGGCTAACCACCGACTGCCGCGACGAGCTGTTTTGTTGTGTAGGAGTTGGTTGGAAAAAAGCTAGGGGCGGCCAGACCAAAACATGGCAGAAATCCATGAAGTCACTGACAAGTGGACTGAGTCATGTTGGTAGATGTAGGCTACCTGGTTGGGGTCCGTGAGACGATAGTCACCGATGGTTAGAGACCTTGAACGACATGGCTCAAAATCGTTTGCAATGGCGCAGGTGCATCCACTCTTTGTGTTCTATGAAATTCTAACCTTCTGCATTCCTCATAATCTCTATCTTTCTCCTTCTAAATTTATCTCACTGAATTATACTTTTCGAATCATATCTTCGCTCCCTAATCTTCTCCATTACTGCCAATAATTCTACTATCGCTATCACTCTTGGATTTGAACTGACAGTTGTGTCTGTGCGCTGATATGGTATGGCAACGTGAACTGATGTACTTACGTACAAAGGTCTGCGTTGTATCTGTCTGTGTTGTTCTAATTTTCACAATGGGAATCTTTAAAATTCTTAAATCATGTGGGGACCCTGCTGCATTTAAGGCACTCAATGAGTTCCTGAAGTTTAATGCACGTCTCACAGAAGCGAAGACGAGCTTAGGATTTACGATCAATTGTATTCAGTCAAACAGATATCCTAAATTATATTGGAAGTCATTACGTCGAAACAGAGTCTATCCGAATGCTAAAACACTTGAAAGACATGCGTCCAATGAAATAGATACTTTAAAAATGAATATCCGCGACTTGGATAGGAATCTTATTCTCAGACAACATTTCGTTGATAACCTGCCATCGGAAATTCATTCACTATTTATGGATTATGTCGGAAAAGTTTCAAAAAACAGATCTGAGAAGACAATGAATAAGCTAGTGAAAACTCTGGAAAAACAAAAACCGGAAAAGGAATTTCCACTGGATCCGACTCGGTACGTACACAATTTTTCAGACATTGAACTTGATGTAATACAGTTAGAGGCTTTGTCCCTGGGGCCAAAATTTTGTGATAATGGTCAGAAAATCAATCACCTAGACACCGATGTGCAGTTTGAAAATTTGTTTTCACAAACAACCGACCTGTTCCCCACCTCAGTGGAGGATGTCGCTAGATTTAAGACAACTTTAGTCGATAGCTGCCAACAATATAAAAACAGTAAGCGTTCTACTAATCGCCTTTTTACTAAACTGCACCGTGAGGCTCTAACTAAACTCAAAAAAGATGATACTTTGATCATGAGCAAACCAGACAAGGGGGGAGGTATAGTTCTGATGAATAAATCTGATTATATTGCAAAAATGGAAGGAATGCTAGATGATCCTAGCAAATTTCAGAAAGTCACCAGTAATAACGACATCAATAAAAAAGTGGAAAAACAACTGACTAATTCGCTTAAAGAACTAAAGAAAAAGGGAGTAATTGCGTCTGAAATTCACGACTCGATTAAACCGACTGGATCATATACACCACGACTATATGGCTTGCCTAAAATCCACAAATCGGGTCTTCCTCTGCGCCCGGTCCTTGATATGTACAATTCTCCTTACCACAAAATTGCAAAGTGGTTAGTACGAATTTTAGAGCCTTTACATAAATCAGTTGTGAAAAGAAGTGTAAAAGATGTTTTTGAGTTCACTTCCAAAGTGGAAAGTATGAATGTTAGCAAGAAAATTATGATCTCACTGGATGTGGTTTCGTTGTTCACTAACGTACCACTCCTCGAGACTATTGATTTCATATGCGAGCAAATTAAAGAAAAACAAATCAACATTGGATTGCCCGAAGATTGCCTTAAGGAATTACTCCTAAGATGCACGATGAATGTCCATTTTGTATTCAACAATAATTATTATAGGCAGATAGACGGTATAGCCATGGGCTCACCTCTAGGCCCGATTCTAGCTGATCTCTTTCTAGCAAAGCTAGAAAATGGACCAATGAACGAAGTTATTCAAAAACTTGATCTATATTGCCGTTATGTCGATGACACATTCATCATTGTAGATCAAGACACCAGGAAAGAAAAACTTTTAGAACAATTCAACAATGTACACCCAGCAATCACGTTCACTGGGGAAGAAGAATATGATGAAAAACTGTCTTTCCTTGACATCACACTAAGTAGGCGAAAAGATGGTTCACTAAGTAGAAGCGTGTATAGGAAAAATCCTAGTGCTTGCCAATACACTCACTTTTGTAGTTTTACACCTATCCGCTACAAAAGAAATTTGGTTAGATGTCTCACTTACAGAGCAAATATGATATGTTCAATGGATACTGTAAGTCAGGAGCTGGAATTCATCAACGGCTCACTAACCGAGATTGGTTATCCAAGCGCATTCTTAAAAAAGTATATGTCTGCTGTAAAAAAGAAGCCGGTGGTTTCGACTGCCCGAAAGAAGCCTTTGTTTATGAAGCTACAATTCAACGGAGATGTGGCCTGCGATACTCTGCAGGATAGATTAAGAAGAGTAATCAACAGAACATTCAACGCTGCAAAACTTGCATTGACTTTCTCCAGTCGACCTGCGATGTCTACTCAAACGAAAGATAAGTTACCTGAGCTGGCCTCCTCTATGTGCATTTACAAATTCAGCTGCTCCTGTGGAGATAGCTATATCGGGCGTACTTCCAGGCAACTTAACCAACGAATGAGTGAACATCTCCCAGCATGGTTTACGAAGGGTCAGTCAAAAACAATACGCAGTTCTATCTTAGCACACCTGGTAGATAGTGGTCACATTGTAGATAAATCTAGATCTTTTCGGGTGATCTATCGTATACCTCCATCATTTCCCAACGGAGTTCGATCCCGTCTCCTACACATTGCAGAAGCCATAGGAATACGTACATTCAACCCTAATTTATGTGTTCAGAAGAAATTCGTGACACCCCTATCTCTTCCGTGGCCGGATATGACGTAACTAATGACTGACATATTTTTATTTTTATTTTTATTATTTTTGATTTTTTATTTTATTTTATTCTTACAAATTTGCTTATTACGTAATGTTTTTGACGTTTTTGATGATTATTTGAATTCTATTCACCCACCCTTGACCTACTTTAGTTATCATATTTTACAAATTTTCTTACTACTATCAGTACACCTGTTTTCCTATTATCCACTTGAACTTTTGCCTTTTTCATTTCATTGTGATTATCACTCAAATTGCCTTGATTGGTTTAACATTTTCATATAAATATTCATGTATATTAGAGTAAAGCCTGATGACGATCTAATCGAAAACAATATTGTTCGCTTATAAGTGTTGTTCTAATTTTCACAATGGGAATCTTTAAAAATCTGTCTGTCTGTCTGAAGAAGTATAATTGAAATTCGTCTAGTTGTGCGTGCATGAATACTTTGAGGAATGAATAGAATTAAATGTAGTTATTTATAAAGAAAACGGTCCAAGTTGGATGGATAATCCGGGATTTATTGTGGTATAATTAAACGCCTCAGCTACTCGCCTTTATAATTGGAAAATCGTCAAATTATTTTGATGCCTTTAAATATCGATTTAGTGGTTGTTAAAAGTAGCGTATGCTGTTACTACTGATTTAATTTATAGATTTTCCAGTTCTAGACTTCTTAACAATCTACCCTGGTAGCCAGCATTACAACACACACCTCAGTATTGGCCAGAATTAAAGTGAAACACTTAATTTAGAGCTGTTATAAAACGTCATTTTTGGTAATAATATTATTTGTCTGATATAACATTAATGATCATTAATTTTCTTTAAATTACCAAGCTGAAAATGATGTTAGCAGTAATCCATCTTCAAATTTAAAAAGAACTGCTAGTCAAGCTGCATCTTCCGAATATAATGGTGATCCAGAATATGCTCGGAAAGTCATAGTCCTAGAGCCTGAGGTAAGTTTATTTTCAGGTGCTTTATTTTATTCTAAGTTGAAAATTTAAAGTTCTTTCTAGTAGTTAATTATGTCCTTTTGTTTTGCTCGTTACTTGATATGCTTGAAACTATTACGAGTTCACCTTAGTCGATAAACAAGAACGAGACAATGACCCAGTGACTCAGTAGGCTACTCTGATCCGTTGCCCCAAACAACTGAAGAAAAAGTCTTGATATGGCGTAGAAAGTATTTTCTACGAACACGCAGCAAACACAATGAATTCAAACACACAAATCGCGTTTATTTATATATCACAGAAGCGTCCTTAGGAGAGTCACAAAATCAGCATACTAAAATAACACATCAACCAATCACACCCAATGATTTTCCTGGTGGGAAATGTGGTCTCAAGGTCAACTTGTCAGCCCATGAAGAAGGTCCAAAAATTAAGACATTTATGGAGCGAGTTCTGGGGATTTAACGTCCCTAACACCTTTTTCTACTACAAATATCATCCATATTCAAGTTAGTATTTAAGATTGAGAAATAGTATTGGTTGATATCAAGAAAAGATGGATTTACATTATTGATTCACATTTCATATATCTCAGCATTTCTGTTTTCGATTGCAGCGTTGAATAATTAAAAGTTTGAATCTTACATGACGTTCACTAAATAAAAACTTAAATTAATTCTTTAGTAGTCACTGAGAAAACATGTAGTTTCTTACCAACCATAAGTATTTTCACACTCATCAGAATCTTTTAAACAAATTTGAATTTCTATGGTTTGTCAATGTAGGATTTAATTTGTCCTACAGATGTAATTCTAGAACGGTAAACGCAATATTGGCGAGCACATAGTCTATGGGAAAGCTACAGTTAAAACAAGATTAACTTTGTTTTAAACTTTATCTGTTTCTAAACATAAAAACAATTAGATTAGTACAATAAATAAGGAAATTACAATTATCAAGTAAACCCAGTAAACATACCGACCAATATAGCGTGTCTTATGGAAATGAATCAAGTTATGAGTCACATCAATAATAATAAGATAATAATGTCCTTCAATTATTAGGTCATTTACAACAAAGAAAGTTTACAGACACATCAGATCAGATCACGTGGTGGGCGCTTAAAACGACAATTTGATTGGTTAGTTATGATATAACTACAATTAGTTATGAAAATAACTAACAGTCAAATCTGTTTTATTTTACTTTCAATGTTTTTTTTTATAGATATCTGGTGTCCAACTGAATAGTGATGTAGAAGTTGCTGAAACAATTCAAACTACTATATCTGGGCCAACTATCTCATCCACCTCTTCATTTTTGAATGTATCTAGCACAATCAATTCATCTAATAATAATAATAATTTGAAATCAAGTGTTACAAACTTTCAAAACAACTATGGATCTTCTCTCAATGTTACTGTACGTCAACATAAGCAACTCCAGCAGCAGCAGCAGCAGCAACCACCACAACAGCAACAAACGTCAGAAAAGACACTGAATAATAATACTACACCTGGAATTAGTACACGTCGATTACATGTGTCAAATATTCCTTTTCGGTTTCGAGAAGCTGATTTACGATCTTTGTTAGGTGTAAGTCTGTTCAAATTGGTTTATGTTTTTTTGTCTTCAGTATGTGAAACCTTGGGGAAAATTGTGTGATACTATTTTATATGCTTAATAATGCATAGTTTTATGAATATGAAAGTGAAGTTTGATCAATTAACTAGTTATAACGTGAAATTTATCTTGGAAAATTAGGTTTTAACTGAAAATTTCTGTTCTTTTACTAAAGAATTGGATGTACAGTTTCTGCATAACGTGTGTAGTGATTTCATAATAGCTATCCTTTGGAATTTTAGGACATCCTTACGATGTAACAGAAAAAACATGCTTGAGTTATATTGAGCCTCATGTGATAGGTCTATAACTGTAGGAGAGTATTTGTATGATGTGGTTCCAGCATTGATTGGTTCATCTAAATTGTCCATATGGTATCACTAAACTTCTGTTAACCAATGTGTTAGGATATTCATCTAACACCCTAAGAGAATTATTTTTGCAAGTCTTATTCTATTGGTCGATTCCTACTGGTCAATATTTTAGTCATCCAAGCTATCAATGTCACGTACTTCAATGTTGTTTCCTATTCGACCTAAATGTATAAATACGCATTATCTGTAACAGCTTATGACCCGGATTGCTAGTCAGGGATCCTGATTCTCTTCTGGACTCGGACCTCGTACTTTCTGGATCCTTAAAGAATACAGCTCCTACTTGATATCAAGTATTCTTCTTTTACTCAATGGGGGTTTGGGACAGTCGGATTAGAGCAGCTCGTCTTGTCACCGGATCCTCGATTCTCGCTCTCGTTTACTGACTAAGGTAAACTCATAATAGTTCAAGCATATCAAATGACGTGTTTACGTGCATGCATAACACAATGAAATGATGCTAGTGAGATAAAATCTGAGAAAGATGCCTAACGTTTATTTGTCCAGGATGCTTTTAGTGGGACATAGATGGAATAAAGCATGACTGCGTTAGCTGTGCGCTGATTGGCTAATTTCCTAACCAATCAGCGCCTGATCGACTCTTGGAGAACAGGGTAGAAAACTCTCGTGTTGTTAGCTGCATGCTGATTGGCTAAATGTAATCCGGTTGGTGCTAGTCAATCACGTGAATTACAATCCAGAAGCTTCCCATGTAAATGCTATAAAGAAACTAACGTTGTATCTATTTTTGCCTTCGGCTTCTTATTTCCATTTAACCTTGCTATTTGGAATATAATCTTTTCCTGTTCCACCGTGTTTTTGATTCTTTGGAACTTGTCCAGTGTATTGTGGTCAGAGAATACTAAGCAATAGGAATTAGCTGGGAATCATTCAAGTTAGCGTTACAAGAGATACAGTTCTCCCATGATTATGAGGTAGCCACAGATAGTAGATAAATTCTATTGTTACAGTTAAAATTGACA